AACATATTAATTGATTTGATATAAGCAGTAAAATGACATTTTCTGGTCAAGTATTTTATTGTAGACTATACCTTGTCCAACTTGTTTCAATGAAGGTCAAAGTAACCTAGAAATACTAATGTTGCAGTGTCTACTTGTTGTTCCAACTAAGAAAATGGATAATATAGTTTCATTGGTTTAATGACAGTTAATAGTGTTTTGCCTTTAATAAAACAATAAAAAAATGCTCTAGTTTTGCTCCATATAACTCAATATAATGCTTTGTCGGTGAACTTTATTTCATTCGGCTACTTTGACCTTATGTTTACTTTTTTCTTAGTTGCATGACGTAAATATAAAAGAATGTGATTTTCCGCTGTAAAATAAGCGTTTCGCTTTCTTACATAATGCATGGAGGGCCTCCACATGTAAAGCTGGAAAGTCGCCCTATTACCGCAACTATGTTAGTGCAACGAAATACACAACATAACAATATGTATTGAAAAGCGTTTGTCCCTGAGCTTGCTGACTCGGCTTCCTGCAATAACCTTTATATCTACTGGTAAAGCTTTTGTATACAATAAATTATAATGGCTTATTTGTATCGTAGTTCTTCATGTGTACAATACAAAATTTTAATTAAACGAGAGATAAATATTAATAATTGTGTGTTGCTATATTCAATTTAAATGGATATACGTATACAATCATATTAATTATTAACTTTACCATTTTACATTGTATCAGATGTAGATGTTGTACAATTCCTGTGACATTATTGGCTTTATATTATTTTTTATCGAATTAAATCGAAATAAGCAAGTGAGATATATCTCTCAAAAGGAACTAATTGTGTATTTTGATTCCACAAATACTCACAATTTTACATTTTGTATTCTGATTCCACAAATAATCTTACATTTTAAATCCGTGGGAATATTGATGGTCACCTATAATTTGTACATTTATAGAACAAGAAAATTTTTTATATAGTTAAACAAACAAAACGTAAAAACAACTGTGTTTAAAAGTATCTTCAAATTATGTGACATATGGCCATAAATGTGAATATAAATGTATATGTTATATAAATGTATTTTATGACATTGTTTCTCATATGTGTTGTGAAGTTCAAAGTCACGAAGACAAAGAATTCATTACAAAATTAACAACGAATTGTGTCATGTTTTTACAATGTGTGTCTGCCGTGCGCTTGTAAATTAAACCAAATGTAAAAATAACTTGATTTAAGATATTTTGGCATTTACATTTAGCTAGCATTTCTTCACTAATTAGGTTTATGGGGCCATTAAATGTTCGAAAAGGCATTAACGAGAATAATAGTACACTGACTGGTGTATTAACTCAGACATGATTAAATCTCAGAGGAATTGATTAGCTAGAGTTTGTTTGATAATTTGTCCTTGAATTGTCTCATCAACACATGAAAAATGGTTTCTCCTCTTTTTAAGTTTTTTTTGTGTGTGTTCTCTGTAGTTTTCAACACCAAGTCTTAACACACCATTTAGTTCCAAAGTATTACAATACATATCATTATAATGTTGTATTTATTTGAGAATGTATGTGCTAATTGTCATAATATTGTTATATATCATATATCAAGTCGTCCACTCATATGAAACTGAAGTGTTTGAACAATTGTCACCGTTAAATAATCAAATATGAATAAGATTGTACTACAAAATCAAAAATAACTCTTTAACAATTCTGTCCTACCCAAACTATTGACTCGCGTAAACTAATGACAATAATTACGTTGGCAGCAATATCTGAATCCAGCTAGAAGTAAAAGCTGGTTTAACTCATTCAAGTAATACCGTCGAAGACGTTATACGTTATTTATAACCTCTTAACAACAGTTTCTCACACATAATTGGAATTCCTTGACGAAACATGTTTTGTTTACTTTTATGAAGAATTTTCCAGCGGAAATGAGTTCCGTTCAAAAACCAAACGATGAATTATAAACGGAAAGTTTTTAACTACAGAAAGGTACCAATAAACATCATTTATCTACTGTATTGATAACAATGTCTCTTATATTTTTTATTGTGAAACTATTGTTAACACTAAACAACGGATTACAGCGGAGCTATTTTATTTAAGCGGCGAACACAGACAGTGAGTTATTTGGAGGCTGAATACTTGTGATTGGCTAGCGGAATCCGCTATACGTTTTCATTGGTTGACGCCTTATTCAAATGTTTTGGAATGGTACTTTTTACCCGCTGTTATCAAGGCACCAAAGTATATAAATACAGGCGCGAACATTCAATGTCAGCTTCATAACCGCTGAGCCAAATAGGAAAAAGTCATCAAAGCTTATTTTACTTTTGCTTTCAAACATAAGTTATACACTGTCTTATTATATCCAATCTAATAATTAGATAAGGTATGGGATGGATGTACACATTGAAGTTATCAATATACAATGTACTTCGATCCATGTCTATTATGAGCACATAATATTTCAGTGACACTCAACGCCCAATTGAAGGTGCATTCGATTGTTATTTCTTATTATATTAATTCGCTACATTAAGCAAACATTTGCCATTTGTTCTCGGCAATATAGTCATACCATACGAATCCCAATTTTATTGCAATTGCATCTTAAAACAATTAAACATTCATGTATAACTAATAATGGCAATTAACGGTGCCTCGTTAATGTTTTGTTCACACATTTGACCCCTCAAAAATGAATCTGGTTGTTAGTAACTAAAGAGCAATTACAAAGGAATTCGCCGTAGGATTTTGCGGTGTAATTGACATTACGTTTCCGTTTTCATGAATAGAATGCACTTATTAGGGCACAGGTTCACTGATTGGTGTGACAGTTGAAGTCTTGTTATATCCCCAAGCTTAAAGTCTAGATGCTTAAAGCCATGTCTTGATTACTGGACATGCGTCAAAGTATATAGACAAATCCTATTTGGTTTTCATCTTTAAGTGAATTGGTTTCTAATGGAAGGTCTATAATACCACGAAAAACTGTGTTGATAGTATAAGTATTCGGTGATATATGTGACAACAAAGAAAACACACCACAAAGTAATTATATATGCATGTTGTTGGTAAGTGTGAGAAACATGATCCTGTATGATTTATCTATATAGAAAAATTAAAGATTTAAAATTGTTCTAAAGCAAAACATAATTATTCATCTCATACATTTTCATTCTTAATGCATTTAAAACCCTATCAACATTTTTACAAGACATATATATCATAAGAATGTCGAAATAATTTATACAAATATCAGCTGATTCGAATATTTATAGCATCTTTGAGAAATTAATGGTACTGAATGTGAGCATAAAAATATCAAATGTGTTTAAGGAAATCAGGTACATAGGGGAAACTTTTTAGATAAAAGTATCTATGCTAACCTGACACTATATCCTTATTTATGTATCATTGTTTTGAGGTTGATATAAAATTACGGCATATTTGACATACATTATACATAATTATATATTTTAAGTGTATGCAATGTTTGAGGAGCACTCTAGAGTTAACGTAATAAAGCCACTATATTGTAGTTTAGTTTATTTCAATATATTATAAATAACTTTAATATGTATAAACATCTAAGGTATAAAAAGTCGACAATTTTTGCATTGGTTGTTGAAAAAACAAAGGAAAGAACAAGAAATATAATGTTAGATTATGTCGGAAGTAATAAATAGTGCTATGATTTCAACTTCAGAGGTGGATTTTTGAGGGATCGAAATATATATCTTATGCGCTGGATTGAAGTTTAATGATTTTATTCATATAACTATCGGTTCATTTTGCCTATTGTTGATGTTGATAGTTGATAATTTATACATTAAGAGATCTTTCCGCATTATTAAAAAAATATTAAAGCATAAATGTAACCAGTGTATGTAATGGGATATATTTTTTTCTTTCTAAATTTCTTCTATAGCCTCGTCATATATCACTGACGGTTTAAATCCACAAGGGCAAATGCATTCAATTTTTAAGTACAGTACATGTATCATGCATCGTCCAAAGCGGAAATTTATTTCGTCGTCACGTAACACATAATACATACAGAAATTAGATATAAATAATGCATAAAAAGGAACTAAATAAACCAATTTTTAAACTTGTATATAAGTGCTTATTTAAACAAATTTACAAATTTATTTTGAACGCAATAAATGATAATATTCATAACTTTAATAATGTAAAGTTATGACGAATGCTGAAGTAGACACGATTCAATTTATTGCACGAAAGACTATACAGCATTTTACAATCTACATATAAGCAATGTTATCCGAAGTCAATTACCCTTAACCTTTGTGTATTGATCAAAGACTGTAGCAGTGTATTGGCAAACATCATTCATTCAGAATAAAGCACGAGCAGCGTCCAAAGATAAATATTTATATGTCTTAGAATTAAGTTACTTTTTCATTGCATTTCCTGTAAGTGACAGAATTGTTTTGATTACGCTGTAGGATTTACGGACATGTAAAGCGCTTTGTGTGCAAGTACGATTAACTAAAATGTTGCTTAATATATACATTGTTATAGTTTTTAATGCAACTATAGAAAATGCTTACGATAGAAGTTAGGTTTTCAATATATGTTTTAAATAAATATATATCTTATTAAATACAATAACAGTTAAAGGTATTATGGCAAAATTTTGTCGCTCAAATTTAGTATTATGAATCAGATTCGTGATTCGTTAAGTCGTAATACAAATATTATAATTATATTATCTATGGTAATAATTTATATGAAATTCATTTAAGGATTAATGACCATGTTTCAAAAGAGATGACTTTGATCATATTATCTCATTTTACAAAAAGATGCATAATCAAAAGCGCTACATCCTCATATTGTTACACAGCCAAGCTGTTATAGAATTAGGAAACATTATCTCTAAAAAGGTTTATTTCAGGTTTACTTTATACTTTTTGAATGCATACATTTGTCCATCGGCAATATTACAGTAATTTATGTTTGTTTTGCAGATTCAATGGGAATCGTTAGGAACCTCTTTTAAATATTGAAATTACGGTAAGTGTTCTGTTTTTTTTTTCAGATCGCATGCAATACAAATGGCATATACTGCAATCACGTACTTACACTCTAAAACAAATTACTGCAAAATTAGACAAGCATGCATTTGACCACTGAAGAAAAATTCATGCAAGGTCAAAAGACTAAAATCACAACTTGCCTAGTGCACGTACACAAGATACTTTCAACCATGTTATAATATGAAAATTAAATAAATCATTACTTTTCACAAATCATTTGCATTTTACTGCTCATTTAAACTGGTTTAGGCTAAAATGATAAGTACGCAAAGCAATAGAAATATATCAATTGGATATTTTAATGAAATATAACTTGATAAAATACGTATAAGGTTCTTAGCGGTGAATGGATATATATATTGTTCTAGAACCTTTTCATTATCTGCTATTCAATATATGTACGTTCGGATCATGTATCACAACAGAATCCATATAAAATTATTTTAAGTTCGTGCTTTGTTGGTTTGTCTGAAACTGACTACAAAAACATAATTATTTATGGTATCAAAGACCAACCTTTCATTTTACACCATCGCACTTTAATGTCGTGTTTAAATCCGGTATAATCGACAGTTTATAAACATAATTAAAATGTAATATATTTCAAACACTGATGCTTCAAAAAAGACTTTAGGAATGTCAAATTCTCGTCTACGTAGTAGAGTAAATATGTTTATTTACATTGTAAAATAAGTTCTTTGCAAAGGTCGCTAACCTTTGTTATCCGGAACCTATTGATGTCGCATGCTAATTTGTGAGAAAAGTTTATATAAGGGCTATACAGTTTTATGACTGTGCTGGACATAAATGTCCTGAAGAAATCTTTTGTTCTTCTTTAACAAGTACAGCTTGAAGGCCGTTACATGAAATTTTTGGATACGCTTCTAGAAATAATTGCAAGAAACTCAAAGCAAAAATAAAAACGATATGACTTTGTTTTGTTAACTTTTTCGTACCGTGCTACTTATTGATCTAATATGAATGACAGGTTGTCATTGTTCTTGTATTTCTATCTGATAATATGTCAGAGTCTAAGAAATTTGTTAGAACATATAAGACGAAAATAAGATAGTTTAAACAAATGATCAACAGTTCGTCCTGCTTCAATACATTCTTGTGAGTGAGCACATCTTTCAAATAAAACGTTTTTCCCTGAAAACTCTATTCTTTCATGTTAAGTACAACTGACTGAATTACTTGTCTTTGTGTTACGGCAAAATAAACTCCAAGAAAGTATACATCATCGGACCCTAGTACAATAATTTCTTAATACAGTATATTCTCTTACCGTGACTTATGTATATAGCCTGGTGTATTTAACGGGTATTTGTTTAGATTTATTTCTGACAAAGATATATTGAGTAGCTGTCAGTATTATATAAAGAACTCTGTCAAGTAGGTTGTTTTTGCTGGAAGTCGTAATATAAAGTCAACGCATTAGCTTTCTGTGATATTGTGTCCGATTATCGGAAACAAGAGTACAGCAATGAACGACCGACTTATGTGTATAAGTTATGGTTAGTTAAACAGAGCCATACTTGAATTGCACATAGCAGGTTTAGGGAAGCTGCTTCTCATAGTAAACTTAAATTAAATATAGGGGATATTGAATGAGTGTAAGTTCAATACTGAATTTATTGAACGAGTAGAATAAAATTATATACGCGACCCTCTGGCGAGCATAATATTATTTTATTTAACGAGTTCAATAAATTCAGTAGTGCTCTTACACGAATTAAACATTGTATCAAATGGACATTCCTTACGTACTAGACAACTAAGCAGTAATGCAAATTAACTGTATCACAAGTAAAATACATAACATCTAAATATAACATTTTACTTCCACCATTTATGCCCGGCAATATATTTGTTTCCTTATATTATAATTGCACATTTTTATTGATTTCTTAAGTTAGTTAAGTTACAAAAAAAAATATTATAAAACTTTAAAGAAGTGGCAGAATATTGCAAACTTTATATAAATGAAATGTTTCATAAAAATCAAAATGACGAAAGACATAAATATCTCATGCAAACAATAGTCTTAAGAAACATTTTAAATAACATTGAATAAACGTCTATTCAACGGCCAAGTGGTAATGGTCGTTGATTTCAGAGCCTTTGCCCCTCATCGCTTTGGGTTCGAATCCCGGCAGAGACGTTTGATTCCTTCATATAAGGATTCCGAAGCTATCCAGCTAGCTTACGGAACGTTGGTGAACGGAATGACACCTGAGGTCTTCCCCCACCAGTAAAGCTGGAAAATACCAAATACTTCTGAACAACAGTTCATTGACCCCATTCTATACGTATGGTGTTCTCTTTTATAAGTGAAAATTTTGAAACCATCATAAATCCCTTTTTATTTTTAAACATATCAAATGTCATCACCTTTACTTTGTCGAAGGCAATATCTTATCAAATTTGACTTACGTGGTATGACTAAATTAAAAATGTGATTGTTTTTTGAAAATACTAAGCTCATACGATATCACCCGCAACATAAAATCTTAATGTTGCTTTAACACAGGTGGTAAAAATGAAGTAAACAATAAATTGTAATTAATAACATTTAATTAATAAGATAAGCTAAAACATATTTTAGTGTCGAAAACAAAAATTGAGAAAATGGTTTTCAATGAGATAACTAGAGTTATGGATACTATAAGAAATAGAAAGAGCATCGAAACACGAGGCTATCTGATTTGTACGAGGGGGCTTAGCCTCCGAGTATAAATCAGATTGCCGAGTGTTTTGATGTGACATTATCATTTATATTTCGAAATTGAACAGTTTGACATTTCGAATAAATGTTTTGTATATAGACTATTTAATTAATGTACACATAGCCAGACTTATTGACAGGCCCGTCACTTTATTGAAGAGATTAGCTAGAGGCAAGGTAATGCCTGTCCAAGATAAGACGTTTCCTGAGCGGTTTAATGTTCTATCATGATTGATAAAATGAAAACAGACTAGTTGAATCGGTAATATTATCACCAGTGGAAGACTGAAACGGAAGACGGTGCAATATCAATCACCTGACATCTAATTGTTCTTTTATTAACGTAATTTTATGACTGGCAAGACTGAAGTATTTCATTTAAACAATTACTATTGTTTTAGAATATAGTATAACTTGCAATGTGCATTGAAATAAAAATAGAAGTATTGTTACATGTACAAACGTAAAATTAGTTTATCCCATGCAATTTATACTCGCTTGATTACCTTGATTACCTATATAAATATAATTGTGACCGGGTGTTGACTTATTCTTGTCTAAGTCCTACCATGATTCTACGTTATTCATTAAATTGGTCAAGACGTGGGCATGTAAAGCCCCTCCCTGCTATCTAATATATGTTTGAAGTGATATTGATATAGGAAATTAATCACGGCATGGTGGCTCACACAAATAATATGACGTCCATATAATTACTTCTGAGTACATGGAGTATTGACCTATACTGGCATTTCACACAAGACAATATTTGATTTTAACAAAAGTTATTCTAGACTGCCTGAATATAAAATTCCATATGGCGTCTCTGTTATCGAGTGGTTAACGTGTTCGAAACGCTTCGACTTTAATCTGCTTGCCTCTCATGTTTGTGGATTCGATTCCCATCAGAGACTTTTAGTTAATTCGTATAAGGAAGCTATTCAACTAGCTTATGTAAGGTCTTTGGTTCCGTTCAGTTACTAGTTTGTACCTAAATGATTCACGGAATAGCAGCAGTCCTGAGGACTTCCACTGGTGTAGCTTGAGAGTCGTCATAGAAACATTACAGCGTCAATGCGACTAAATAATGTACTAAAAAAACATCACTATAATTATGAATTGAGATGAATGATGAATTATATTACTAATCTGAGATAGTTTTTATTAAGGCATCTAGAGATAATCAATATTTCTCTTAAATTGTAAAAATCAAAGACGGAACTTCTAGATGGGTTACCAAATACCCAGGATAAATTTGTGCTAGCTAATGTCACTCACTTACAAATAAATATTGGTACAAAGTAAGTGTAGATATGTCTTATACAGAAAATTAATATGAACTTAAATTAAGTGAATTGTGTCAATAAAAGCTATCATTAATAAAAAGTCTTTAACATTACGGACTTACATTCTATATTCAACACGTTCAGTTTATAGATATTCTTAATGAACGACTTTAATATTAACATTGTACATCTAACTACTTATCAAGTTGTGAATACATCGAGGACCTTAGAAATATCAATTGTCATCTTTATCGTATTTTGTATAAGTTTAGAACATTATAACAGTCTTTTTATTACTTGCTGGAGATATTTGATGACAGCTGGTTGGCTTAAAGGTTGACTAAAAAAAAAGGTTATTGCTTTTGCTACTGACGCTTTTATGTTATGTCAAATTAGATAAGTTATATTTGATAAAGTAATAAAGCGCAAATGAAATAACTAATTTTGGAGATAATTAAAAAAGATATGATTTTAGTAAAGAATAAGATATTTATTTATTTGAGAAGGTATCTACTATAATAATGACTTATTTTGTAATTTCTATGACTACAGAAACCACTGTTACAAATCTGTTACAGAAAGAAAGTATAATGTATGGTATCATGCTAGAACTTATATTTACATAGAGATGTCACATATATTAGAACGATATTATACGTGTTACAATGTTTATTGGGAATCGTTATGTTATCAACTCTATAATGGAATGCTTTACATTATTTATTGTTTATTAAATGTTAATCATTGATACTGCTGAAAAACACATTTATTTAAGTTCTTATGTATGTGCATTGCATCGCCTCTAAAATTACACATACGCAGTTGTCCTAGTGACTAGTTATTAACTTTACACAACTGGGTCTAAATTTATCCTGATGAAAGAACGAAGCGATTCCTTTACATCAAAATTTATATTAAAACATATCTATGTTCCTGCATCTATAAAACAATTTGAACGTGTTC